GTGGTTCCCGGACCACCTGTGCACCAAAACTCACGGGGTTTGTTCTGTTTCTTTCTTTCTTACTTTCTTTTCTTTCTTTCTTTTCTTTTCCTTCCTTCCTTCCTCCCTCCCTCATAGGCTCCACACCCAAGGTGGGGCTTGAACTCACGACCCTGACATCAAGAGTCAAATGTTCTATCGACTGAGCCAGCCAGGCATTCCTGTTCTGCTTCTGTGAAAACTACAGTCAAAGCAGCTAGTTCCCTACCCCAGACCTTCCGAATCAGAACTCGTGGGCATGTTCCCTAGAATCTGTCGTTTCAACCACTTTCCAGATGACTATGAAAAAGCTGATTCACAGACTTGTATCAAAAACCTCGCAGAATACACCAATGGTATGAGTCATAAGATAAAGTGTGTAAAGGATTTCTGCTAGCAGAATTACGACTCCTTTGGAGCCAGTCATCCCCACCTTTTTTGTTTGTGCATATGCTTTTCATTACAGTTTGTACATGTACCCCAATATTTGTTTATGCTTTATATACACATACTACTGTACTACCATATTAGGTATAAAACATACTAAAATATAGCAGTTTTAAAGATTTAACAAGTAAATAAAAATAGAAGTTCTAATATTCACTTCTTGCAGCCTGGAGGTTTTTCTTGGACTCCCATCTGTGGATGACTGCTCTGGGATATTCTCAGCCAATTGTCCTTTGCCTGAGGCTGCCCCAGGAAGTCCAGTATGAAGAGCTTCCAGATATCATGAAAAACTCCTTAATCCTGGATAATTCTTTATCATAACCTCAAATCCTGCTTAGAGAGAGGTTTGTCTGGTTCACCTGACCTGAATTTTTTCTCTACAATGTGACCAGGGGAACTTTCCCAAATTAGTTGCTGAGCGAGAAAACAGACACATCTGTCAGCAGTCCAGGTGGGGTTGGGCCCCAGCCCCTATTCTTCCTGTGGCCCTCGTGGATCTCTGGAGCTCAGGGCATAAAAATTCCTAATGAATGTATTTAAGGCTGCAGAGAGAGAAAAGGCAATTAGGGCCCAGAGGAAGCAGAAGACAAACTGAGGTAAGGAGCCTAGAACTTGCCATTTCTAGGGCTCTTGGTTCCTTCCCATAGATCTGAGTTTCCATCAGGTATCATTTTCCTTTAGCCTGAAAAGCTTCCTTTAGTATTTCTCAGTGCGGGTTTGTTGGTACAAATTCTCTCAGCTTCCACTGATCTGAAAATGTCTTTACTTCACCCTCATTTTTTGAAGAGTATCTTTGCTGGATATGGAATTCTGGGTTGACAGTTATTTTGTTTGTTTGTCTAGAGATTTAAGAATGTCATTCCTTCTCTCTGACCTCCACTGTTTCTGATGAGAACTCAGCCATTATTTGTGGCATTGTTTCCCTCGACAGAATATGTCATTTTTCTCTGGATGATTTCACAATTTTCAGAAGTTGAACTATATGATGTGCCTAGTTGTGACTTTCTTTACTTGGGAGCTTCCCGAGCTTTTTGGATCTGTAGGTTGGTATGTTTTACCAAATTTGGGCAAGTTGTAACTAATTTTTCTTCATATATCTTTTTCTACCGCATTCTCTCCCTCCTTTTCTTCAGGGATTCTAATTAGCTATATGCTATATAGCTTTATATTTTCCCACAAGTTTCTGAGGCTCTGTTCATTTAATTTCGATCTTTGTTCTCTTTCTTCTTCAGACTGAATCATTTTTATGGCTCTGTCTTCAAGTTTGTGGGCTCTGACTTCTGCCATCTCCAATCTGCTTTTAAAGCCACCAGTGAATTCCTCACTTCAGACATTGTATTTTCAGTCTAGAATTTCTTTACAAAAGTTCCGTTTCTCCGTCGAGATTCTGCATTTGTTGTTCATTAAGACTATATTTTTTTCTTTAATTCCTTGAACACATTCATTATAACTACCTTAAAGTCCTGGTCTGCTAATTTCATCATGTAGATCATCTCAGAGTCTGTTTCCATGGATACCTTTTTTTTTTACAGGTAACATTTTTTCTAGTTATTGGAATACCTTGGAAGTTTTTATTGTAAGTTAGATATTGTGGGTGATCTATTGGAAAGAGTCTGGATTATGTTGTTTGCCTTTAAAGAGTGTTGTGTTTTGTTTTGGCAGGCAATTAATTTATCGGAAGATTTCCTTGCCCCTGTCAAGCCTTCATTTAAGGTTTTGTTAGGGTGAATCTAAAGTAGCCTTTATTCTAGGACATGATCCTTCTTCCCAAAGCATAAATTTTCTGGTACAGCAGCTGAATGCTGTAGCAAGAGGATCTCTCCACTCTGGCGGGAATGATGGCTCCCAGCACTATGTGACCGCTAGTTTTTCCATTCTTTGCTTAACTCCTTAGCAGCCAATCTCTTATGTAGTCTCAACCTGTACCTACTCAGCCCAGTTCTCGACAGAAACTGACAGCGAGCCCCTAGTATGGCTTAAATTGTGTTCCCCCCAAAAGATACATTGAAGTTCAATCCCCCAATACTTCTGACCATGACCTTTATTTGGAAATAGGGTTTTTAAAGAGGTAATTAAATTAAAATGAGGTCATTGTCGTGGGTCGTAATCCAGTATAACCAGTGTCCTTCTAAAAAGGGGAAATTGGACACAGAGAGAAAGCCATATGAAGATGAAGGGAAAGATCAAGGTGATACATCTAGAAGCCAAGGAATGTCAAAGATTGACAGCAATCACCAGACACCAGGGAAGAAGTGTGGAACAGCCCCTCACCCACCCACATTCTGACACCTTGATCTCAGACTTTGAGCCTCCAGAACTGGGAGAGAATACGTTTCTGTTGTTTGAGCACCCCCCCCGCCCAGTTTGTGGTACTTTGTATGATAGCCCTAGTAAATGAATGCACACCCACAGAGACTTTGTGGGGGTCCCCATGTGACCCCTTCCTCCCTGGCACTGGCCCTCCAAGTTCCATCTGGTCTACAGCTCCGAACCCTGATCTTTTTCTTCTCAGCTCAGCAGGACGGCTGGACTCTTCTTGGGTTCCACCTTTTTGTGCTGTAGTCCGGAAAGTGTCCCCAGGCGGAGAGCTGGAGGAGGCTGGGCTCACTTGATGTGATTACAGTTGTGCGCTGTCTCTTGTCCAATGACGGAAGACAACAGTGTCACACATTTGGTCCAGTTCGGTAGTTTTTACGGTGAAAGGCAATACTAGTATTTGTTACTCTGCCATGGCCAGAAGTGAAATTTCTGTTCTAAATTCTTTGAGTTATTTATTTTGAATAAATTATTTGAACTCATTTACTTCTCTTGACACCTCTATGAGGTAGACAGATTGTTAACCTCATGAGTTCCAGATTAAAAAAAAAAAGCGAGGCCAAAAAAAAAAAAAGATTAACTATAACTGGTCCAAGGATACATCTTATAAATGATAGAGGTAGACTTTGAATCTAGGCAGTTTAACCGTAGAGTCCATGCTCTTCAATATTAACCAACGATCTTAACGTAACAGGTTTCAACGAATGTACTTTGAATGAAGGAATAGATGGCTGTCTCTTCTACTTCATTGCCCATTTACCTGATAGTCCACCTGCCCGTGAAAATCCCAACATCACATCAACCTAGTGTGTTCACTTCTTTTCCACCCAGACTTTTAAGCACTCTGGAGAAAATCACACTGAACTTCTACCAAGACTGAACTCCTACCAAGTTATCTGGACCTTTGAAAATAGCTAATAGTTCTGTCTTTCCCTCATCTTTGCCTTCCATTGGCTGTTGGTTCTGCCTTAAATCTCAAACACCTGTACCTCCCTCCTCATTTTCAGGAAAAACACAATTTCCAGCTGTGAACTCTCAGATTCCCACTCATTTCTCTAAATTTGACTTGCGTTGGCACGTATCCTTGCCTTTTGCTCTACTGTGAAAATATTTAGCGTTTCTCTCTCTTGTCTAAGGCATATCCACGTGTGGCTACGGCTTGATGCCTTTCTCCCCCTTTGAGCCAAGTGTTTGGAAGTCTTGTTTTTCTTCCCTGCATCCTCATCACCCTCTCCTCTCCAGCTCATTCCCTCAACTCCAATCTGGCGTCTGTACTCATCCCCTATTCATTAATTAATGTTGGCTTTCCTTTGATTAATTTTTTCCTTATGCTTTCTTTAAATGTATTTGTTATCATTTTAACTTCTTGATCTGGATCCCTAATTTATTATTTTTTACTGTTCATTAATATCAATATTTAAGATCATGAGTTTTCCACTGCTGTGTATCTTATAGATTCTCCTCTGTGGGACAGTTTTCTATATATTTTAAAATTTTTGTTTTCCTTTCCTCATTGATCCAAGAGTGTTTAAGAGAAAATTTAAAAATTTCTTTGTGGTAGAGTATCTTTTTTTTTTTTTGTGGTTTTGTAATGAATATCTATTTTATTGCATTTTAATCAGAGAATTTTAGTTTATATTATTTCTACTTTGGGGAAATTTTATAATTTCTCTGTTGTTTTATATACAGTAAATTCTTGAATATTCCATGGACAGTTTTAGCAAAAGGTATACTTTCTGTTTTCAGACTACAGAGCTCAATATATCAATTAACTAAATTTGTGTTATTAATTACATTTTAATTTCTTCTTTATTAAAGAAAAGGTGAACATAGGGAACCTATGCCCTTTCCCTGAGTATGGGCTAGGAAGTGTCGAGACCCCAGACTTGTCCCTACTCTCAATATGGCGCCAAAGCAGAAGAACTGTTAACCATGGTTGCTTCACGGCCCAGAGCGTCCTGAGGAGTGGGAGAGTGATTTCCCTCGCTCCTGAGTGGGGAATGTAATAGGGCAGAGGGTGAGAGACAGGCATGGAGGTTGCATAAAGGGGATGTTGTAACTCTTGTTAATCAGTGATCTGGGACCACATTATGCAATGGAATCTTCGTAGGTGCCAGCAGCGTGGACAAAGGCCAGCTTCCCCCCACCCCCTGGCACCACATAAATTCCCCACTCCCACCCCACCCACACTCCTGGTGAAGGAAGACTCTAAGTGATTGAGATTTAATGTCTACCACCCATTTGAATGGGACTTGAAGAATAAATTCAGTTCAGTTATAGAACAAGTATTTTTTGCATGTTCATTCCACATCTGTAGCTCCAGCTCAGATCTCTCTGTGCATTCTAGACTTACATCTGAGTTAGATTAGGCTTTTCAGCCTCAAGCTGAGCATGCCCAAAACTAAAGCCATCTCTGCTCATTGTCTCATCTTCACCCCTCAACTAAAATCTGTTCTTCTTGTCTTCCCTATTTTTCTAAATCTTGTCCACATCCAATAAGTTGTCTGGGGCAGAAACCAGGTATTGTGTGAGGGGGTGTAGTTCAGAAAATGCTAAAGGTCAAAAACAAACTAAGGCATATCCATTCTGTTAACAACCATATATACTGGGCTTCACAGGTGAGTTACTTTAAGAACTGGGCATCCTTTTAAAATAGTTTGAAAAACCACTGTACAGGAGAGGATGTGATGCAGTGGAGTAGAAGAGCCTAGAAACCCTTCCATACAAGCCAAAGCCACTGAAAAGCCTGGAGATTGGGGTCGGACTAGAGAGTGGGGTCCACTGCTGGAGGAGGCAGCTGGAGAGGAGGATGGGAGTTGCTGAGTGTGGCAGAGGTGAATGGCCAAAGGGAAGAGGGTTCAGGGAACATTTTTCATTGGCTGTTTTGGTCTTTATCCAAATATTTGAGGGCAGGCAAAGTGACTGAGCCTGAGCTGCATCAAGAAGGGCCCAGGGCATCAGACTGTCTGCTCCTTCCTGGACAAAGCTCACGATTCTCCATGGCTCTCCAGGAATCCATGGGGCTGGATGTCTACAAGATGTGTTTTGAACCCACAGCCTACCTGGGCTACTTCAAGATGGGCCAGAGCTCTGTGGGTGATGAGTTCCTCCATTTCCTGCTAAAATGCTACAACACCGCTTTTAAATCAGGTGCTGGTCTCCTTGAACCCTGGAAGAGGTTTGTGGGAGGAAGGGTGGGCATGGAAATTTTAAATTAGATGCTGGTCTTCTTCAACCCTAGTGCAAGTTTACTGTGGGATGGGGGAAGGTAGCCAGGCAATTGGCAGGAACTCTGGACTTGGAGATAATGTGGAACCTCCCTACAGGCTGATTTTAGATACTTGATGTATGGTACTAGGTGGGATGCCCTAAACATTTCTGAGGTCTCTGGGTCAAGATTTTCTCCTCCCATAAAATCTAAGAGCTGTGGTTTTTGATGGCACTGAGTAGCCCTGTCTTCTCCCTATCCCTGTCAAAAAGAAGCTGCAAGGGGCATCAGTGTAGGAAGCCTTTTTCCAAATTCAGTGCAGGAAGCTTTCGTTCTCTGCGTGATTACCACTGTGGCCTGTGAAAACATCATGGGTGGGTGCCTCTCAGATTTGCCCCTAGGGGAAGAATGGTGTTTGGCAGGCTGGATCATTAACATCAAATAATGGGTCTCTTTTCATGATTCACATGAGAAGGAAACATAACCCCATAGCATAGCTAGAATTTCCCTGATGAACAACCTCCTGCTATCAAATTTTCTGAAACCTTTGATGCTTGCCTCCATTTATCTGCCACTGTAACCTACAGGTAACACAAACGAAGGGGAAACAAACAAAATGTAGCAGCAGAATCCAGGAGCAGGTGAGCAGTCTTCATTCAGTAGCGGGGCCGGGACCCCTCGGTCCAGCTAGTTTTCTCTCCTTGCCACCCTGTTGTTTATCTTGGAAGCCCCTTGCCAGGGTCCAAATGCTACTGATATTTTGTGTTAACCCAGTCTCTCCCTGGCTGGAGAGAAGGCAAAATGGGAAGGGGAGACCAAGGGCTCTGTGGGCAGGCCTATATTCCCCTTTTAGTCCTGCTAAGAAAGTTTCTGGGAATACAGGTGGTGCTCAACGAATGTTTGCTGATTGAGCTTTGGAATGTTACTTAACACAGACAAGAACCGCCTCGAGCTGGAAAAGTGGCTAGAGAAGATCCCAGGGGCATTGGACTGGTCCCCAGTGGTGAGATCTGTGGGTGAGTTTGAGGAGGACAGGTCAGGGGTTTGTTGTTTGCCTGGGATCGCCATGATGCAAGCTTCACTTAACTCCCAGAATCAAGAATTTTTCATGGGGCTCGTGTAGAAATGGCAAAGCAGGGGGAGACTAAGAAGGAAGGAAGTGGGGGCGGGGGTTCCAAAAAGAAAGGAGGAAGAGTGAGAGATGAATCCGATAAAGAGCAAAAGAGGGAAGAGAAATAGATGGCTGTAGACAGACCCAGAGCCAGAGGGAATTGTCACGAACGCCCACCCAGAAGGCCAGGGCCTGCGCCCCCGCGCTGACATAGACCTGTGATAGACAGACGTTCTGATGGGCAGGCGCCCCTGTTGTTCCAGTTATAGCCTCCAGGTGGCGCCAAACTTGTGGCATCTTTCTGCCCATCGCAGGAGGTGGGCATAGAATTAAGACCAATCTTGCATGCAAGTGAACAGACTCTACTTACCTTGGATAATTTCAGGGCAGCAGGAAGGTCCACCGTAGCACCTCCACTCCCCAAATACCACTGTCCCCAGTTAGGTAAGACGGTTGAAGTTGTATATTAGATTCTTATGTCTTTTGCTTAAGCCTGTGATTTTTTTAAAGATTTTACTTATTTTTTTGACAGAGAGAGAGAGAGCACAAGCGAGGGGAACGGCAGGCAGAGGGAGAGGGAGAAGCAGGCTTCCTGCCGAGCAGGGAGCCTGACGCGGGGCTTGATCCCAGGACCCCGGGATCATGACCTGAGCCAAAGGCAGACGCTTCACCAACTGAGCCACCCAGGTGCCCCCAGACTGTGACTTTTTAAAAATGCGGAACTGGAAAGAGTAAATCTGTAAGTGCCAATCCTTACGCATACCTCAGTATGAATGAGCCCCATATGCTGAGAACAGGTGTAGGTAAGAAGAGAATGTGTGTGGGGAGCAGTGAGGAGGCCGGATGGCATGGTCAGGAGACATGGGGAGAGCCTGGTGGACACCCGCAAAGTCTGCCAAGCGCATTTTGTAAGATTTGCTCAGCTGATTCCTGGCCAACTTTCCATGTCCTTTTGCACTTGGCTGGGTCGTGTTAAACATGGACCTAGCAGACAGAGAACAGACCAAGCGCCAGGAGTACATTGCCCAGAGAGGGGCTACCAGTGGAAAGAGCAGTGACCTCGGGGTCAGGGTCAGCCGCTGGCTTCCTGACTGCCCCTGTCTCTGAGACTCAGTTTCTTGGTCTGTAAAGCCAGTGATTTGATATTCTGGGAGTCTGTGTGAGAGGCAGAGAATGGCCAGGAGTGACGTATGCGTCTCACACGATGAGCCTGACCCTGCTGGCCACTCCTTCCTCTCCCCTCCACTTAGAGTCAAGTGGGCTGAGGAGGAGGAGCGGCTAAGGAGACCTGTGCGCCAGGTGCTCAAGGGTGACACCCCTGGCCGACTGCCTCCTTTCTGCCCTGTGCCTTGAGGCTGCCTGCCTCACCCTGGAAGCCTTCCAGGATGCCCTGTGCCACCCCAGGTCCCTGCTCCGGCCCAGGGGCCATCTGGTGCTGGGCGGGAGCCTTGAGACCACCTTCTACATGGTGGGGGCCAAGAGGTTCTCTGCACTGCCACCGAAGGAAAAATTCGTGGGGGGACACCCCCCTGGGGTCCGGCTTCACCATCGAGAAGCTGGAGAAGGCTCAGCGGGCAGCTGAGACCCTCCTGGAGAAGCGTTCAGACCACACGGGGACATTCTTCATGGCCCAGAGAAGGGACTGAGCGGCATATTGGGAAGGCGAGGGAGCACACGGGGCAGGACTTCGAGGCCACATTCTGACCGCCTCCCCCGTTTGCTTTCCTCTCCGGTCAGCCAGCTTTATTTAGAACCCTTACCAGCAAATGCTTTTAGAGTCTTATTATACATGATTGCCAGGTAAATAGGGATGTTTATCTCACACAGAGAGGTTCATAATATACTCTGCTAATGGCCCAGGGTCGGGGAAAGAATTGGACCAGAGAAATAAAGCTGTGCCCTCCCCTAGTTTTTTTTTTTTTTTAAAGATTTTATTTATTTATTTATTTATTTATTTGAGAAAGAGAGAGAGAGAGAGAGAAACAGCATGAGAGGGGAGAGAGTCAGAGGGAGAAGCAGGCTCCCCGCTGAGCCAGGAACCCGATGTGGGACTCGATCCCAGGACTCCAGGACCATGACCTGAGCCGAAGGCAGTCGCTTAATCAACTGAGCCACCCAGGTGCCCTGTGCCTCCCCTAGTTTTGAGGGTGGCTCGGTTGCATGGAGTGATGAGGGTAGAGTCCCCCACGATCACCTAATTTAGGCATTTTGGGGACTGCTCACCTTCTGAGCTCATTCCCCACCCGAATCTTCACCCCTGCTGATACTGCGGCCCCATCCCACGAAACGAAGAGAAGACAGGCTTTGGCGTCAGGCGACATGGATTTTGGTACTTGGCTCTCGGCTTACTTGCTCTTGTGATGTCAGGTGGGTTTTTAATACCTCAGAGCCTCAGTGTCCCCATTGCTGAAATGGATAGAATAACCCGCCTCCCCAGGGTTATTGTGAGACTCCCAAAGATAGAACATGAATACACCTGGTAGATAATCATGTGTGCAATGTTGTACGTGTAAGTTTTTGCTGACACTCCATATGCGTGTAACAAGCAGTTCTAAAGGGAGCTGGAGTTCTAAAGAGGTGGTTTTCCTTCTTCATCCAACGTGATCCACCTAAGCCAGTTTGGGACAGGGATGGGGCGCTTGGGAAAGACTTTTGAAGGAAGTAGCAGCAGATCAGTGGGATGTAAGGGGTGACTGGGAGTAAGGTCTCAGATCAGTGAGATGTAAGGGGTGACTGGGAGTAAGGTGAAAGAATCGGGGGCATAGTCTGTGAAGAGCAGGAATTCTGCAGTAGCAGAGACCCAGAGGGGAAGTAACATACCATGTTTGGTGAACTTCAGGAAAAACTGAAGACAGCTGGGTAGGTTGAGGTCCTGTCCCTGGTGGTCCCCGATAACCCACTGGGCACTGGCATGGTGAAGCAAGCCAACACTTCGAGCGGGCAGAGAAGTTGCCCAAGCGGTGATGGTTGGTTTGGGGTAGGAGGTAGGCAAGCAAGTAATTTATTCATCCAACAAATATTTGTTGAGTGCCTACGTAAAGCTAGGCACTGTGCTCAGTAAGTGTCAGAAACTTTGCCCGGGACTGGTCCTTACCGTAAACACAGTTGCAACACTTAAGCCCTTGATCACATCATGCCCCATGTCTTTGTATCTGTGTATATTCTCATGTGTATATGTGGGTATGTGCACACGTGTGTGTGTGTGTGTGTGTGTGTGCGTGCATGCTGGCGATGGTCATAGAGGGCGGGTCAGATCTATCCATGGTGTTACCACATGAGTGATAGGAGAAATTGACTCTCAAAGGCTGGGAGCAGATCGGGAGTTAGCTACCAGAGGAAGCTTGCAGTATGTGGACCCAGAGGCTGAGTGTTAGCACCTCCTCCAAAGACAGCTCCAAGTGCACACTGGAGTGTGCAGCCAGAAAGCTGGATTGGCCTGGGAAAGCAGAAAGCAAAGAGGAAGGTGGGAGGGCATATGGCGAGGGTGTCCAGGGCAGGTGCTCTCGGCAGGGCTGAGGTGCCCAGTGCTCTACCTCCCTGCATAAAGTGTGGACACACATCCTGGGGTATGTTCTCCAGGGGTCATGGGGTTAGTTACATGGGCAGTCACACCGGGGAGCTGTTGGCTCTCTTACATGATACCACGTACACTTTGTGGGCTGACTGTGAGTAGGCATTGTCTTTGGTTTCATGGGAGGCTAGTGGCCAGAAAGGATTTGTCATCCACTGAAATAACAAGCAACACACTTTTGTTAAGCACTATTACTGAGTAGGCGTGGGACTCTATGGCAAGACAGAATTTGCTTGGGAGAGGGACAATGACGGGAAGCACAGAAGAGATAGGATTGGTTCCTGCTCAGGGTCGGAGGAAGGTTTCACGAAGTAAGTGGTAGCCGAGATGAGTTATAAGAGAGGGTGATGGTTGGAAATGTGTTCACACTGGAAGAAACGCTATTGCTAAAAACAAAACAAAACAACACACGGCCTTAGGAAGATGCCAGATGAATGATGTGATGTTTTCTGTTTTCTTTGCCTAGAGGGTGGGCTCCGTATGAGAGAACAGAGGAGAACAAGGAAGGCTGGGAAGGTAGCTCAGGGTATTGGACTCTGTGAGCCTCTCCAGGGGGTAATCAGAGTTCATCAACAAATATTTATTTAACATCTGCCATCTGCCAGGCATTGAGCAAGCAGGACTAAATAGGACACATTTCTTGCCTTGCTGGGCTTGTAGGCAGTTAGGACAACAGTGTTAGGAGGGGAGGGCATGCAGACGATCATGCCTAATCTGGGGGAGATAAGGGAAGCATCGCAAAGACATAATGCTTAAAGTGAGTCTTGAACTAACAGTCCGTGCCCAGTTGCCAGGCAGCCAGTGGGATGGAGGTGCAGGGGCCTGGGGTGCTGAGGCAGGTCAGGTAGAAGAAGCAGCATGGCCAGGGTGGGAGCCACGGGTAGACACCAGGCACGGTCGGGGACCCTCATCCGTGAACATGGACTCCATGGCCATTATATGCCCGTCCCTGTTTTGTATTCTGGGGATACAGTGCATGAGTCCAGCAAGGCCCTGACCTCATTCTACTTGGGAGCAGAAGGGAAGGCAGACAGTAGAGGAGTAGATCAAAGATAAAATATAATAAAATAAAAAAGTGTGAGCCCTAAGAAAGAAATCAATAGGGAGGTACTGTGGAGAGGAACCGGGGCAGAGGGGGTGGGAGGAGGGCCCATCCAGTTGCCTGGGATGGACAGACCTAGACCGAGGTCCTGCACAGTCAGGCAGTGGTGTGACGGCAGGGGCCCCTAGGACGGGGCTGCCAAGCCCAGCAGTGTTCCTCTCTCGATAATGGAACCCTCCAAAGCTGCCGTGGAGAATGCTTCTGGAAGCAGAATCTATAGGCAGGCAGGAGAAGCTCTTCTGCCCGTTCCTATCCTGTCTGTGGGCCTCTCCTGGAGAAACCCCCTTTAAAATGTGCCAGCCCTTCTTTTTGCCTTCCAGAGGAGGATCCCAGGCACTCAGACAGACCTCCAGAGGAAATAACGAGCAGTGAGTGGGGTGGGTGGCAGACTCCTGGAGGACAAGGTAGGTCGTCGTCCTGACTGTGTGTCTCTGTGTGTGAGTGTGTCCTTCAGGGGAAGGAGGCCGGACAGCAGGATGGCTCCCTGGGGACCAGTCCCAAACCTGTTTGGGATTGTTTCCCTTGTCCTTCATTCTCTGGACACAAGGGGGCAGTCGAGCCCCGAGCTTGGCAAGCTGCAAGGCCCATGGGGCCGAGGACTGTCTTCCCCCAGCCTTGCTTGCCTGAGGCCTGCTCTCCGGTTCAAGCTGACCTCTGAATGTGGGAATCGGAAAGAGGAGGGCCACCGCCCGCACAGAGCACCCTGATTTTCACTGGCCTTCACTCAACCCTATGTAAGATGCGCTGCCCTCCTCCCCTTCCACAACAGAAGCTGAGGCCCAGGAGAGCTAACCCAGATCCACGTGCCGCAGGGCCTGGCGGGAGATAGATCAGCCCAGAAGTAGCCTGGGTGGCAGAGCAAGGGAGAGGCACCCCAGCTGGCTGC